GTAGGGTGCTGGCCACATACACCAGAGCTGCTAGGGCCTGCCAAACAACGACAACTACAACAAAAACTAACCAGGCATTGTGGCAGGCACCTGTAGTCCCAGTTAGTTAGGAAACTGAGGCAAGAGAATTGCTTAAGCCCAAGAGTTTGAGGTTTCTGTGAGCTGTGATACCACAGCACTCTGCTAAGGGTGACATAGTGAGACTCTGTCTCAAAAAAAAAAAAAAAAATGGATCAACTCCTCTGCTTAAAACACTTTTATGGACCTTTACTACATGTTGATTACTGCAGCTCAAAATAGGAGTCTGAGTTCAAGGGAGAGGTCTAAGTGAGAGACACAAATTTAATAACCATTGGCATATAGATATAAGGAGCAACGTATGGAACTTTAACATTTAGCAGCTTGGAAGATAAGAGAGAACCAACAGAGGAAACTGAGACTGAATACTAAGACAAATAGGGGGAAAAAAAGGTATCATATATCTTGGAAGATAAATTTAAAAAAGAAAAAAGTGATTTCAAGGAAGGCAAGATCAAATGCGTCAAATACCACTTTAGATCAAACCAGATGAAGACTGAAGACTAACACTTGGTTCAGCAGATTTTCAACGTCCTCAGGAGCTAGGAGCCACAGCTTGGAGTTTAGAATAAGGTGGCCAACAAATGTAGGAACTCTAGTTGTGGAGAAGTGGAAGGTTCAGGAAAACTAACGGTGACAGAGAGAAGTTTGAGTGCAGAAATTAATGGTGTCAAACTTGGAAATTCTATGGTAAGAAAACTATCTGTGCGGGGACTAGAAATTGATGAAAAGGACAGAACTAAGATACTCAAACAGAGGCAGTGAGGTACAGCGGAAAAGAAACAGGCTTTGGAATCAAATCGTCTTTGGGTAGTAAGGGCAGGCTCTCATACTAGGAAGTTACACTGACTTATTTCTTGCATCCTTTAACGTGGTCTGAGGCACTTAAGGCCAAAAAGCCAATCTAAAGCCAATCGAACCTAATTTAAAACATCACAATTCTGAAATAATCATTTCAGACAAGATTCCCACCAACTTTACTAAACTAGACAATTCTTTTTTTTTTTTTTTTTTTTTTTTGAGACAGAGCCTCAAGCTGTCTCCCTGGGTAGAGTGCCATGGCTTCACTGCTCACAGCAGCATCCAACTCCTGGGCTCAAGCAAGTCTCCTACCTCAGCCTCCTGAGTAGCTGGGACCACAGGTGCCTGCCACAACGCCCGGCTATTTTTTGGTTGCAGCCATTATTGTTGTTTGGCGGGCCCGGGCTGGATTCAAACCCGCCACCTTAGGTATATGTGGCTGGCGCCTTTGCCACTTAAGTCACAGGCGCCGAGCCATAAACTGGACAATTCTTAAAAACGATACGAGGCGGGTCAGGCGCAGTGGCTCATGCCTGTAATCCTAGAGCTCTGGGAGGCCAAGGCAGGTGGATTGCCTGAGCTCAGGACTTAGGGACCAGCCTGAGTAGGAGTGAGACCCCATTGCTACCAAAAAAAAAAAAAAATAGAAAAAGCTAGCTGGGTGTGGTGGTGCACACCTGTAGAGAGGCTGAGGCAAGAGGATCTCTTAAGCCCAAGAGTTTGAGATTGCTGTGAGCTGTGACACCACAGCACTCTACCTAGGGTGACTGACTGACTCTGTCTCAAAAAATAATAAAATAAAATAGGATATGTAGCAATCTCAGTTCTCCTCCTCTGCTATTTCTCAGCTCTCAAAATGGTAGTAAAATAATTTTAAAGGAACAGCAATTTTTGTACATATTTAAATAAACAGCAAAGTTCTAATAATGATTTCTTTTCTTTTTCTTTCTTTCTTTCTTTCTTTTTTTTTTTTTTTTTTTGAGACAGGGTCTCACTCTATTGCCCAGGCTGGAGTAGAGTGGCACGATCATAGTTCACCACAGCCTCATGCTCCTGGGCTCAAGAGATCCTCCTGCCTTAGCCTCTCAAGTAGCTAGGATTACAGGCATGAGGCACCTCATTCAGCCCTAATGAGCTTTTTAAAAACTTATTTTAAAACAGTGATTCACAGGCAGCACTTGTTGCTCGGTGGGTATGGCACTGGCCCCATTTACCAAGGGTGGCAGGTTTGAACCTGGCCCTGGCCAAACTGCAACAAAAAAATAGCTGGGCATTGTGGTGGGCACTTGTAGTCCCAGCTTCTCAGGGGGCTGAGGCAAGAGAATTGCCTAAGCCCAGGAGCTGGAGGTTGCTGTGAGCTGTGACACCACAGCACTCTACCAAGGGCGATAGAGTGAGACTCAGTCTCTTAAAAGAAAACAAAAAGCAGTGATTCATGATGTTGGTTGAACACTGCAATTATCTAAGGAATTTAAATCATACTGATGCCTAGGTCCCAGCTCTCCTTCCTAACACAGAGGACTTTGTACTAATCTAGAGAGCATTCTCTATCTGAATGCTCTCTATTGAGCCACTAACCCTTAAGATCTCCGCTAATTCATTAATTTCTCCTAAAAGCCATAAACTAAATCAGTTCTTTCCGTTAAACACTCTTACACAATAGTATTATGTACCTTCTAGATTTTTAGACTACATAGTTTAATGCATATATACATCAAATATAAAAATACATAAATAATACATAAATAGGGCAGTGCCCATAGCTCAGTAGGTAGGATGCCATCTACAGACAGCAAGGCTGGGCCAGCTAAACCACAATGACAACTGCAAGAAAAAATAGCTGGGCATTGTGGTGGACGCCTGTAGTCCCAGCTACTTTGGAGGGTGAGGCAAGAGAATCACTTGAACCCAAGAGTTTGAGGTTGCTGTGAGCTGTGATGCCGCAACACTTTACCCAGGGCAACTCTGTCTCAAAAAAAATTAAAAAATATAAATATACGTTTATAATTTTTTTTTTTTGAGACAGAGCCTCAAGCTGTGCCCCTGGGTAGAGTGCTGTGGCATCACAGCTCACAGCAACTTCCAACTCCGGCTCAAGTGGGTCTCCTGCCTCAGCTTCCCAAGTAGCTGGGACCACAGGGACCAGCCACAACGCCCGGATATTATTTTTTTGGTTGCAGTCATCATTGTTGTTTGGTGGGCCCGGGCTGGATTTGAACCTGCCACCTTGGGTGTACATGGCTGGCACCTTAGCCACTTGAGCCACAGGCGCCAAGCCAAATTGATGTTTGTTAAACTATATTTAAACCATTAGACATGAGAAAAACAAAACTGCACCATATCTACAGCAGAGCTCTCCTCAGAAAACTCGATCTCCCATTAGATAATTTAATTAAACAGGGTTAGCTCTAGTTTCTCTGAAGTGACGCATTAGAAATACGTTCAGAGCCAGGTATAGTGGCTCACACCTGTAATTCCAGTGACTCTATAGGCTGAAGTAGGAGAATCACTCATGGCCAGGAGTCTGAGACCAGCCTAGGGAACAGGCAAGACTCCATCTCTGAAAGATTCTTTTAAAAATTATCAAGATGGCTCGGCTCCTATAGCTCAACCGGCTAAGGCGCCAGCCACGTACACCTAAGGTGGCGGGTTCGAATCCCCAGCCCGGACCCGCCAAACAACAATGACGGC